GAATTATTATCATAGGCTACTAATGGTAAGCTATAATAGCCTGTACTATTATCTGAAATGTTAATGAATACACAAACATTAGCACTAATCAAACCTTAACCACAGTGGTTAGGCTAATATTAGAAATTAAATTTAAATTGTTGTATTTGTGAAACAGCTGAATCTCAACTACTAAACTATCTGTAGACAGATTATCCAAATAAATTGTAACCTGTAAATATATTATTATGCTAAAATTATACTTTCTATTTAATGTTATGATATTTATTAATACACTAATTTATACCTTTATTACTCCATGTTGTGGATATATTTTGTTTATCAAATGGCCAGAAATAAGAAGAAAATGTATACATTTCGGTCGTAAGTTAACCTAATGCCTTTAATTTAAGTGCACCGATCATGCTTACTGTCGTGCGAAGTCACCCCCCAAAGGCCCATTCTGAGCCAGGAAAAACCCTGTATGATTATCCCTGATTTGGCGCTGCGCCAGTATGTCACGTATGGCCATGATGTGATTAGGCCACCCACTGCCTGGCCAGTAAACCCGCTAACAGCATGAGAGAGAGAGAGAGAGAGAGACCGGAAACATGCTGCTGCTTAAACGTATGAAGGCTTCTGATCCTACACTCAGCACGTAGGCGACGCACAGGCATGTTTAATGCTTTATTTGAATATTATCATTTCATTTGACCTAACTGAATAGTAGTTTGGCAAATAGACAAATAAACCCTCAAATGTCATTATCTATGAAATGGGGGGGATAACAAGGTACCTACAATGCACATAATGGTACATAAACATAAAACTGCAAGCTGTGAACAATTAATTTCAAACAAATGTAAATTATCTCAGACAAGCCAAACCATGAGTGTAGCCAGGGTGTGGGAATTTCTTTTTTTTTTTAAGAACTCATCTCTGGGTGGAGCGCTGGACCTGATGAAGGGGCTGAGGTGACTGATCATAAGGAGTGGTCCCAAAGCATCAGTATCCACTCTAACTTGACATAAAGCAACGTAGTGTTAACATTCCTCAGCTGACCAAGTTCCCAATTCAAGAGCCAACATGTCTATTCATGGTTAACGGCTCCCATGTTCCAATTTTTGTGCTTTTTTGAACCAGCTAGTGAAGCGGGCAGGTTTTCTACAGTTGCCACTATGCTTATTTGCATCATGACGAGTGACAGCAGGATTTGCACTCCTACACCCAATCACAAGGAATCATTGGCAGCGATCCAATCGCAGTCCCATTGTTTTTGAGACCAAAAGTTTAATATTAATCAGCCTCCCATCAGCCACACCGTGCCGACATGTCTTTGTTGCACTCATCTTCTTAGTTGTTGTGTGTTGCTCTGGTTAAATAATTGATAATAACCTTTTTAAGTGTGTTCTTGTTTCATACATTATGCTCACATAGCAGTTGGTTTTATCTTTAACGTCATCTGCCCTTTTCATCATACCAGTCTTTCAGCCTTGCCTTTCACTCTACACTTCACTGCAGTTGAAGAGGACGAACTGACTTGTTCAGTACAAGACTGTACTCCACTGTTAAGTCAAGGTGTTGCTACAGTAGTCAGTTGTCAGTCTGTTGGATAAAAATTCGACGGGAAATTGCAACAGATGGTTGCTGGGAGACTAATCTATCACAGTGTGTGAACTTTTTTTCTAGATTACACTGTAGTAAAGCAATTTGATTCAGTGGAACCAACGTGATCTTAACATTTTACTGTGATTTCATCTCCCGCCCCTATGTACAAACAGCAGCATTTTAAAGTAACATCTCAGATTTGCTATAATACACCCACGTAGCATCATGTGACTTTTGGCTTAGCCTTGTTGAACGGATTTTTGTCCCGGTAACTGCAATGACTGCACCATGAAGAAAAGCATGAGCAGTTTTTAAACAAAAACAGAGTTTTAAAATATGATATACGATCTCCGTCCCCCCAGAGTTTTAGCTATATATCAGAGTTGATCTCCGTCTACACTAAAACAACTGAAAACACACATCTAGTGATCTAGTGGCCGTTCACGTACACTGGCCATGCGCGTGCAGGTGTAAACATGAAGAAGATGGTCTCTCTCTTCCGTAGTTACAGAAGATTTGGCGAAAGAATAAAGTACTACAGACGAAGAACTGCACCAGATTTTATTTGCACAGACCTATAACGAGCCGGGACAGCTACTGAATGTAACACGGGGAGTACAAAGCGGCTGTGACGGCGGAAAACAGACTGGGAGTCGTCACAAACTAAATACGGCGACATACACAGTACAAGTGTAGGCTATAAGTGTTATGTGCACGGTACAAAATATTTTAACAAAAATACTAAATCAAAAACTCTGTCAGCAGCATCATGTTTCTGGTTTGCAATCAGAGAGCCAAACGTGAGCGTTTCTAAAGTCCTCTGTTTGTGCCCGTCCACACTAAAACACTCTCCGGAGTTTGAAAACGAAAAACGGGGTTGGCAGCGTTTTCAAACTTCTCCGTTTTAGGTTCTCATTTTCGCCATTTTAGTCTGGATGGGAAGTGCAAAGGTAACGCAGTGGTGTGGATGGGGCCTCAGAAGATGCGGTTAAAGGAGACGAGAGGATGGAGCAGGACGCCAACGTCTCTGTGACACTGTTAAAGCTGACTGAACAGTGGTGTTCTGGAAGGAATGAGTTTTTTTGTGTGTGTGTGTGTGTGTGTGTGTGTGTGTAGCTGTGCATATGGTTTCTGTGTAAACACATTTGTGTTCACCTATCAAATGCAAGGCCAGTAACCCAGCAGCCGCTGCCTGCTCTTTTGTAGTTACATCTGATTCTGGTGAGCTAGTAGTTCATTGTAGTGTTGATTCACACTTAATATTATCAGTGTGTCTCTTACACACAGGTCATACTGTTGTTGCATATATGCTATATATAGATTTTAATGGATTTAAAGGGTTTGAGTTTATGGTTTTCGTAGCTGAGACATTGACACACATAGTTTTTATACTATTATTAATTCTACACATAGGAGTTGAATTGTTGTGAGATTAGTCGAGTACATTTGCTAACAAGGCGAATGATGGTGTTTCCCATGTAGTTTTGTGGCTCCTTGTACACAGTGTCAACATGTGGGCCATTGAATAGGGAACATCCAGTGTGTATAAGAGGTGCCAAATGCAATTTTTTTTTTTTCATGCAAGAGCAAGCATGTGAGATTATACTCAGTTGCAATCTGAATTATCTTCTGCTATAATCATTTATAATGGTTAAAGGTTAACATAGGTGGTCGAATTGTGTGCAAAGGTCTATAAGGACTCCAAATGTACCATACTGTATATGTACCTCCACATGATGATCCTGTTGCAATCTCTGCTACATACTATAGATAATGTAAATTGACAGCGTACAAATGTATTTTTGATAAGGAATGAGCTGTGCTTGTACACAAGATATCTACTGAGAATCCAGTGAGATAAAATAATAGTTTTTTTGAAAATGGACATAACTTTTTAAAGAGAGCTCAATCTGCCGATATGTCTTGATGTGATATGATTTATAACATTTGACTTCAAATATTAGTTTCTCCATGCTGGAAATGTAGCTTTTTGGAACACAATTTTTCATGCTAGTTGTGAGAAGGCAAATAACATTTTTCACATGTATCAATGTCGTCAATATGCAAGTTAATTTCCACCCTTATAAGGTTACTGTTTTGGAGAGTTTTTGTTTATTAATGTGTAACAGGGTGGTAGCTGTCCTTAATAGTAGATATCTAATTTTCTGTCAAACTCCACCCTTAAACATACCTTTTGTAGCGGGTTTGCAGGTTGATGGTTGATGAGTATTTGTTTAAGGAGCATGAATGTTGACAAGCATTACACGTACAGAGAGTGAGAGGGCGAAAATGACTGACTCTCAGGGGCCTTGACAACCTTTGCCCCGCTGGATCTCGTTTCAGGCCTTGTAATTGCCACTGACCAATGGGCTCCCGTTTGAAACTAGACCCTGGGCTGCAGCTATTAACATCCCCCTCCAAACGGATCTTGTTTTGATTCCTGATGCTTTTATAGGTTTTGTCTTTAGGAGACATTCCTGGTCGGCACATACCGTGCACCCCTTTCTGCCCCTATTTTCCTTCCTTCCCCTCTTGTGGGGCCATTGCCCCCCTCCCTGCACTCGCAAACATACACACGGCCATGATCAGCCTTTGCACATGTGTGTATGTGTGTGTGTGCGCGCTAGGGCTACTGACCAGCCCACTCTCCCCTGGCCCCTCCTGACAGCCAGTTACACTCCATGAACTTGGCCACCCGTCACAGCTGCGTTAAGATTGAAGGATGGGGGGCCCTTGTATCCAGCTGGGTCGGAAGACATAGGTGGGGGCAGGGCAGGCCCAGATGCAGATGGTTTAGGTCAAATGGAGATGTTTGAGGATGAAGGGGGAGGGGGACACAGGAGCTCAGGGGCGCAATAACTCCAGAGGTTACTCCTCCAACCCCTGGAAAAATGCACTCTTGGAGTTTGAGTATATATTAGTCTTAATGTGTTTGTGTTGAATTTATGTTGGCAGTAGTTGTAAATAGCTTAAAGTATACTTTTTTTATCCCAACATGAACTTTTTGATCTATAGTCAGGGTCAAACTGATGGGATCTAGGTAAAATCATCAAATTAACACATTTTAAAAAATGTTGGAGGTCAAAGTCCATTCTTAAGGGTTACAAATTTGCAGCTCCATTAGCGGTGGAATCAGGCAACGACCATGGTTCAGTTCCGGCCAGGGACCTTGTTGCATGACACACGCTTTTTCTGTCTCTCTGCCCATGTTTCCTATCTATCTCTACTGTCTCAATCAAATGAAGGTAAAACGGCAAAAGAAAAATCTTAATTATAGATAATCGTGTTACTTTTGAAAGACTCATAGTTAATGATGTGAGACGACTACAGACTGGATCCCCTCTTAACTTGTTTGTAACCACTTTCTGTTTGTTTACTGACTTTATCCGTCTCTTCTCTCTTGTCTGTTGTAGAATGGGAGTGCCGGCTGGGCAGATGAGGCCGACAGTAGCAGAGGAAGAGGAGAGGCGTCCAGAGACTTTGCTAAGGTAAGCATTTGTAGAGTGTGATCACCGGATGGCTTCAGCTGGTTCAGCCATTAAACAACCAAGTCAACAAAAAGGAAATTGTTGCACTGGTTACATATTAATAGGGCTGTCCCCGAATAACGATTTACAAAGTCGAATCAGAATTGTCAAGTCTTGCCTATAGTCGACTGATAGTCGAATCACATGTGTTTGTGTGGTGGCGATTGTGAGTGGCGGGGATAGGTAGGCCTACACACGGTAGCTCCACTTTAATCTTTAGAAGCTGCAGAGCTGCAGTCTCTATTAGTCACTGTAACTTACACTGTACATTTCCAGCTAAACTGAGGCCTATTGTTGACCTTTTTGTCTCTGCTGACCTGCCACTCACCGGTGTTGTGCCCGAGTCTTCCGTGTGGCCGACAGCGGCATGCACGTCGCGGTTCCTCGCGGGTCTATTTCAAGTGCTATTTAAAAACATTCTTTGTGTGGTTCATCAATGGTGATAAATGATCCAAATGTCCCACGAGGTGCGGACAACTGGGCACAACTCCGGTGAAGCTGGGGCTTCATCTCTTCAGCCTCCACACACAAACCAGGAAAACAAACTAAGAAGAACAGTGACATGAAATTTGAAACTCTGAAAAAATGTTTGCGCAACATCATAAAAAAAGAGCGTGGCAGTTCTGAAGAAGGAAAACAAAACAGATCTGTTTGTAGAGATTTTATTTTTTTAACACAAGCCTGTAGAACTTAGTTTTCAATCTTGCAAAATTTTTTTGTAACATTTTGAGTTCTCAAACACTTAGTTTCAAACTTTCAGAACTTTATTTTCAGTTTTGAAACATGGCAGGATATTTATCCCATAGGGGTCAGCCCCACATATTAACATTAATTCTTATGAAAGTGAAACTAGTGTAAATTGTAAATAGGTTAACCTTTTGAACATGAGCATAATCACACATTCTTTTGGGGGGATTGTGTCCTCCCCCAATATAAAGTAGAAAATAATTATGTTAAATATGTCCCCCTTTTATGAACCCTGTCAACAGCCTAAAACACGAAAGCTGAGCAATGTACTGCTGTGGACAGGGGATAGCAGAAAAAAGTATTTTAGTAACTTAAAAAAGGCCTGGGAAAAAAGTCAGTGTTGTTCATATTTAGAATATTTTCACAGATTTATCTTGCCGTCAGGCAACCTTTTCTGACGGGGGAATTGAACCTGTGTTCTCTTCAAAGCCACCACACTCCTTTGACAAAAACAGTAAGTCTACCTCGCAGAAGACAGGAGTTGCTGGTCTTCTGCTGCCTCGATTGGTTAGTTCCCACATTAGTTTGGATCCCAGCTAACCCTTTAAAACACCAAAGTCACATAACATAAACAAACTAACCGATCAAGGCAGTGGTAGACCAGCACCTCCCCTGTTTGGTGATGTAAGATTACTGTGTTTGTCAAAGGAGCCTGGTGGCTTTGAAGGGAGCATAGCTGATATAATGGCCTCAGTTCCCTGTCGGACAGGACTGCATGTACACTGTTCGTAATACACTTATTATATAGCTAGCTAAAGAGCATGATGAAATAAAACTAGTAATACAAGCAAGATTTTCAATGTATAAAATTAAAATGCGGTCAGTAATTGTTCTTCTGGTATAATAATGATATCTGGTTACAATGCAGGCAGCACAGGGAGACAGGGAGAGGCAGGGAGAAAGCAGTGGCCAGACAGGGACTTCTGGAGATACAAATGATCAGGTGAGATATTGGAATGCAAGACTAAACACCTTGATAACATTTGTTTCAGTCTAGTCCTACATGTCAGAAGTAAATAAAACTACTAGTAACAGCAGAATATTGAAATTAAAATTATCATCAAGGTCACTCAAGATGACAACTGCACAATTAACGAGCCCTAACAGCAGCTCTACTTCCAGTGATAATTTAACATGCTTAATTGGTCGAATGCGTACAACAGTGGCAGTCACACAGCAACGGCTACAGCTGACTGTTACATGCTACATGCAGTGGTCCACTTACAAGTTTGTGCACCGGGCCCTAATAAGTTTCTGTTTTCTCTTTCAGCTGTATGAACTGGACTCTGACCCCAAAAGGAAGGAGTTTTTGGATGACCTCTTCACATTCATGCAGAAGAGAGGTAAGAATTCTCTCCAGAAATTATATAAATTATTATATTCAGCAGCAGCTGCTCACTTGCACTCTCCATAACATAGATTGTCTTTTGCTTACATCAGATCCAGCGGTTTGGCATACGCTTAAAAACTGGAGATTTAGATGGTCTTTAGATGAGATTCAAGTAATTTTCTAAATACAGAAGGGTACTTTACTACAAGTGTTTCCATTAGAGTTAGTTTCCGTTAGAGTTATTTTTTACATGTGAAAATAAAGCTTTTTTTGTTGCACTTTGTCAGTGGGTTCCTGGGTGAAACATCTGCTCTGTGGTTTCAGGCTTTATATCCTGTAGACAATTCAAATGTGAATTTTTAATTCAGAACTAAACACCTATGCTTTCTTAACTCATGCATGTACTGCGTTTTAAATACTATAGAAACACGTTTGCATTGTGAATTGCAAGAGTTGCCACAAATGTGACATTGGTTGGAGTTCATTTCTCACCCTCTGCCTATGTGGAAAAAGCAAATACCGCATGACTTCCACTTTTTAAGAGTCATTTCCTGTCTCAGCGTGAGCAGGGATTGCTGTTTTTTTTACAGAGCATCTGGAATTTCACTATAGATTGATCAGTGTTAGGCCCACAGCTCAAACGGTTTATTTGGTCATACAAATAGAAGAGCCCATATGAACAATACAAAGATAAAAGTACAAATTTTTCAGTTTTTCTCTGCACAAAGACTTTGGTCTTCTGAATGCATTTGCCTGTCCCGTGGTTTTCAAGTGTGCTATATCGCTAATCAACTAAAAAACCTGCTGTAACTCTCACTGGCTAAGAAATCCTTTACTAATTCCCCTCTGAGTGTATTGGCCTAAAGGGGTCAGCATATGAGATCTGCATTTGTTGATCCTCTGGTTCTGCAGTATCAGAGCCTAGAGGATCTGGCAGTGACCTTACTTATTTAGTCTGCCAACAGCCGGGAAGGCTCTGACCGCTTGCTGCTTTGACACTGCAATACCTTCTGACCAGCCAGCTAATGCACTTGTGCTTTTATCAGACAAATCTGTTGCCAAGCAAATTACATGGCTGGAGCAATACCTCCCAAGGTGAAGTACAATGTTATTACAGTGATGCATATTTTACATCGTGTTTTGGCAGGCTGTGATGGGTGGTGATGGTCTGTGAGTGTGTGTGTGTGTGTGTGTGTGTGTGTGTGTGTGTGTGTGTGTGGTTCATACTTCATTGTGTTTTGTCACCGGCTATGATGGGTGATACGAGATGTATGCAAGTGTGTATGCGATGCATAGTTTGTTTTGTCAGACTGTGACGGATGATGATGGCGCGGCCGCTCGTGTAGATGGGTCCATGTGCATTGATGTGTGTGTGTGTGTGCTTATATGTTGGTGAGCTCACATTCATGAGAGCAGCAGCTTCTGAGTGTCTGGTCTGGTCTAAGCACCCGGAGGTCTTGTTTGGAGGGTGATGAATTAAGCCAAGTCAGAGAGAGGGAGGGACAGGATCTGTCAGGGCCCTGTTAGCATCTCTGTCCAGTGGCAGACGCTGGGAGTGATTGGCTGACCCTTTACTCATGCTGGTCAGGCGGAGAAATCCATCAAGCAGACTAAAATGCTGCCTGACAGCAGATAACGGGCTGATTATAGCAAGCCACATCACATAATTTGCACTAATATATATATAATTGCATACTTAAGGCAATAATAATTACATAATAATACTTTAAATAAGGAATTAATTATTATTTTAACAAAAAGACAAATTAGCTTTTAGTTTGCAAAACAAAATGTTGATTCGAATAATTCATATTTGAAGATCAGTACTCTTGTAATTTACATTTTATTTAGCTGAATTACGTTTCCAGAGTGAATTATATTGCGAGTGAATTATATAGCAACTGGAATCTGCCTGCATGGATGAAGTTCTTCTATCATCATCAGTACAAGTAACCAGTAGTGAGGGAGTGCAAGGGTCAGAACCCAATAACAGTTAGATACAAATATAATTGTGTCTCCAGAGTGCTCATCTATAATAGACAAGTGATGCAGGAAATGACAGGGATGTTGCTACTGACATTAGAGACCTGACGCAACCATTGTACAGGAGGGTAGGGTATAATTTCAGCTACTCTAGAGTGAGTTCTTCACCCCTCTCTTTAAGACGAGGCACTTGGCTGACCTCTGCTGTCTCTCAAACCGGAGGGAACAAATTGCTTGGCTGGATTCCCTTTTTGCTGTCAGTGCCAAGACTGTATGAAATGAAGAACAAGCCTTGCCAAGCTCTTGTTTATGGTACCCTCTGATTTCTGTGCATTTACTCCCCCTGCAGTTTTACTTCATAGATAAAGGATCAAGATTGTTGCAGTTTTAATGAAAGAGCATTTAGAAAGCCTTTTTAAAATCGTTGTGTGGAGAAAGGGGAAATAACTGCTGGTCAAATGGGAAAAGCAGCCTCCTTTATTTGATTTACCTTAGAAGCAGAATGCTTAAAACTTCTACACATAGTCAAATACTCATTCTGTGAAGCAGATTGTGAGGTTAAGTGAAACCCAGTGGAATATCTCTGGATGGAGAGAGACAAATGGTGAAGTGCTTTTCCCACCTCGTCGTGGGGCCTTGAGAGGAAAGCAACAGCGGAAGGAAAAACTTACGAGGGATTCCCATTTCCTGCCTCTGCACTTAAAAACAGGCGTGAGTGTGTGTGTGTGTGTGTGTTAATGGTTGAGGAATTTTAGCAGCTGTCCTAAATCCTGTCTGTGCTTAAAGGGGCCCATTGATGGACTCTGCATCACATCACAGAAATGGCAGAAGACGAACCCTCTTTACATTTACTTCCTTGGCTCTTAATTCTTTGCTGACTACGCAAACATCCATTGCTTGGCCCCCTTTGCTTACACCATCAACCTCCGTACTATTTGTTGCTTGTAATTTTAAGAGCTATATTCTAGTGGAGAACACCCTGTCATTCGCTGCATATAGAAACGTCTGCTAATGGCCTGACATGTAAATGTAATGTAAATGCACTAGGGCTGCTCATGCTGGAGGAGTGCTTGTGCAGGGTATTATGCTTCATGAGTTACACCAACATCACTGTTCATCATATCCATTACAGGTTTCGCTGTTTCACCCCCACTGGGAGCGCAGAGAAAAGCTTTGATGCTGGCTCAACGCCATTGACCACCTCAAAGGTTTCGATTAAGCAGTTGGGTGAATGTTTGTTTTGGTTTGACACCCCGCCACTTTCTCATTTGGGATGGGGGTTTGGGGCAGGAGGTGGGGTTGTGAAGAGGCAATCGAGGGGGGAGCAGTAAGTGAGGCTGCGGGAACTGAGGGTGCGCAATAAAGACAAAAAAATAAATAAAAGAGTGATGCAGCCAACTGCCTGTCAGCGCTGTCCACTTGAGATGATTAATGGCCACAGGCTGTGATGGACAGAGCCAGAGAGAGGGGCTCCTGTTCAGTGAAATCACTAGTCGAGAAGGGAGGGGGCAAGTGTTTTAGCTCCTTCTATTCCAGCCAGATGATCCGACATGTCCTGGTCAGAAAATGCTAGATCAATCCCAGTGTGATACGCTTAATGGGAAGTGTAGATTCGGCTCAAGAGGGACCACATGGAGTGCTATCGCTGATTTGGAGTTATTTTAGGGGTAAATCCCTACATAGTAGATTATGGTTTGTTAGTAATAAAGTAGTAAGCCTCTGTGCCTTTAAGTTGCAGTGATCTTGATGGGGGGCTGGATAAAGAAAGATGTATAGAATTAGAGGAAGTAGGGGCTGGAGGGGAAGATGGTAATGCCTATAATGAAGATGTCTTATTTAGCTGTAGCTTGGCAATAGCTCTGCTCCGTTTGTTCCTGTAAATCTTCACTGTGGCTGCCAGTAATGTTTTCAGGGGCCGTATAGCAAAATGGCCTGCAATGGCTTTTGTTTGGTCTATAATTAAAGTTGAGCAAGTCAATAATTTAGTGTTATATTTGTCCTCCAGAATGTACTTTCCTTTTTACTGACAAAAAGAAAAAAACAACAACTGACATTTGTCTTTGCTACAGACAAGAGAAGACGGGTAGAAAATTAAAATAGCTCTGCCAGCTTTTTCAGGTTTTAAGAAAAACAAGAACTTCACGTCCAGGTTAAGCTGGATATTTTTTTGCAGTATTTGTGGTGTATGAATAGTGGCCTCCCAGCAGGACATTAAAGGAAGTTCCCTAACTGTAACCCTGAGCCCGAGAGCTCTGTCCACACCAATTACACCATGAATGGGCTCTGGGGGATCCATGTATGCATTATATTACTCCCCCGGTCAGCCTCACACTGGCCCTCGTAACAGGCGGGCCCTCTGTACAAACACCACACTACAATAGGAACATTCTCTGGCTCTTTGATATGGCCTCATTTTCCATTGGTTAACACCCTACAACTTCTGGAAAGTGGCAGCACCTGGTTGGTTTAACAACAGAAACACCCGGTATTGTGAGCACATTTGTCCATTTTAGATAGTGTTGGCTTACGGGCGAGGCGATTTTTATTTGAGATCGAGCTTTTGAACTGCGACCTTGCTGGTCAACTAATACACAGTTAATGTAATAGCTTTCATCTGCATTTGGGGGGTCAACTTTTTCCAAGGAGTTCCATTGTCACTCATGAAGGATGCAATATGTTTTCGAGACATGAGAAGCATGCAACAATAAAATGTAGTTAGGAAATTACATTTTGTCGTCTCTTGTCTGTCAGTCTTTCTTCTGACTCCATCCCCTTCCTCCTCCCTTGCCCCCACCCTATTCTCCTCCCCCTCTGTTTATTGTGCTACAGTTACAACCACTGAAACTTGATAACACCTTGGGGGATAGGGGCGGAGGGCTGGGCTGTGGCCGGGGGGGGGAGGGTGCTGGATTAAGGGGCCTCCTGTCCTACACGGGATGATTAATGGTCTCCAAATAAGTGGGGGCCAACCTTTTTGATAGGGCAACGCTGACGGACAGCAGACAAGGGAGTGACCGTCGCGTGTCTGTA